TAAGTTTTGGACTCTTAATAATTTTGTCTGCTTTCAGACTTTTTTTTTTCAGAATTTCACCCCAAGCAAGGCGGGAGTGCTACTAGCACGCAGGGGGTTACTGAGAGTTAAAGTGCTGGTTTGGTTTAGTTTATTTTGTTTTGTTATTAATAGAATATGTATTCTTTTGTTTAGATTGGTTTGGTTTATTTTGTTTTACGGCATATCAACCTCAATGGGTTATTTAATGTCGACAAATTTTTTAGGATAGATTCGTATGAATAGAATATGTATTCTTTTGTTTAGATTGGATTGGTTTATTTTGTTTTGTCAAAAATCTGTTTCTGGTAATATTTTTCCTTCAAAATTGTATTGCTAATAATAATTTTTATTCACAAAAGTATTGCTGGTAATAGTTAACTATTTGCCCATAGCTGGGACCCTAACAGGTGATACCACCCTAGTTCAGAGTGGACCTGGGAACACCAGCAATTAAGAGGTGGTTCCACGCTCCACAAAACCTCCTGATCAGAGGCCTTGCTGCTGGATATAGTTTATCGTCTTACCCAGGACGCGGATGTAGTTTACCGTCTTACCCAGGATGTGGATGTAGTTTAACGTCTTCCCCAGGACGGAGAGTTAAAGTGAGGAAGAAAACTGTGCATAGAGGGGATTGAGAAAAGGATAAAAAAGGAACGTGGATCAAGGTTACAGAAGATGTCGATTGACACTGCATTTAAATTTTTGAAGATTGTAGTTATCAAGGACGCAATTGAGAAGAAGGGAATTCCAATGTCTGGTAGTGTGAAAAAAGAAAATACAGGAGTAGAAGTGACAGTTGCATTTAACTATTTCAACAGTAAAAGGGTGGGACCGAGCCGCCAATCCAGTAGCACGTTTAAATTCATGTAGTCGAGGCATCAGGGAAGATAGCTTATCAGAACAGTTGTCATGAAAATATTTGTAGAAAAGACAGAGGGAAGCCACATAACCTCTATGCGAAAAGTGACTGAAGACGCTTCTTTGGATTTTGTCCAGAACCTCGAGATGAAGAGCAGGAGCACCTGACCAGATATGGCAACAATATTCAATGCACGAACGGAGAGTACAAGAGTACATAGTTGCGTCATCTGAATAAATACATAGATGACATCGGGAAGGTCGTTGATGAAGATCAAAAGCGGCGTAAGTCCAAGATTAGGGCCCTAGAGCAGGGGTCGGCAACTTTTTGCCGACTTAGTGTTTTAAAATCATTCAGGGTGCCATCAGCGTACGTATTTTTGTACAAGCCAAGGTCAATATACCTGTTCTACAATATATTTTCGCTAGTTATATATAGTATATAAATACTTTAGTATATTATGAAATGGACAATGTCCGACAATTATTTAAGACATTTTATCTTTATACGCTCTTTTTATAGATACAAATATACAATATTATTAAATGCACTGTTTATAATAAACAGTATTAACAACATTTATATGACCTGAATGTCCGAGAAATTTTCATAGAAAATATGCGTCCTTTTTAGGAATTGAACCTGTGTTTATACAGAAGATCAATATAACTTAACAGATTGTGCCACACATAGCATTCGGTTAATAAATATATATATATATATATATATATATATATAATATATATATATTATAAATATTTAATATATATGTATATATATATATATATATATATATATATATATATATATATATATATATTTATTTTTTTTAAAAATTATGCTTATTTTCCTGGCGGAATATTTGAGAAATATGCGTTCCTGATAGGATTTTAAATTTCCTCTTGGCAGGAGAAACCGTCGTTAGATCCGATTCGATATCGGCACATTCAAGAATTTTCCGTCTAAGTGAGTAACTTTTAAGGAAAATGATAAAGTCCATCAGAAAACGAAATGATTCGGGTAAGATAAGGTTTCCTTCTGTCTTTATTCATATTTTCCTTTTACAGATATATTCTATCTGACATTTTTGAAACATGGTTAGAACTAAAGCGAAAAATATTTTAAATCAATTAATTTAATATATATATATATATATATATATATATATATATATATATATATAATAAGGCAGGATGTGTGTGTGTGTGTGTAACGAATGCACGGCCGCAATTTTCGATTTTGCACCAAAATTTACATGCACATGCTCCAAGTTAGCGGGAAGGCCAAGACCGACTTTGCATTTCCCAACTCCCATCGATAGTGGAAATAATCGATTTTTTTCATGCTTCTACGGCAGTTTTCATGTAGTTTGCAGCCATTTTCTACTGGCCAGAGTGAGAGCCTATAGCTGGCTGCCACGAATAGGCAGGAAGATTCTATTGGCCAGCGTGAGAGCCAACAGCTGACTGACACGAATGTTAACTAGCATGCTAGCATGCAAAAAAAAAAAAAAAAATCGATAGCTGCATTCGTCACAAGTGGGAAAAATTTAAATCTGCATGGCACTTTACTCCAATTGGCTCATTCGCTTGCTTAAACTCAACGTTGATTCTGATTCCGCAGAACTGGGTTGGGTGTGAAAAAGTATTTGTTGTTAACATTCTTTTTTTCATTTGGTTTTTCCAGTTACGAGTCCTTTTTTAAAGCTGATCGTTTTGTGTTCATTTTGTTTAGTTCTTTTTTGTAACAGATTTAATGTTTAGTATAGAGCTTAGAAAAAAATTCGCAGTGTGAGATAGGCAAGAAGTAAGGCATGTAGCAACATCAGCACGGCAAAGGGCACTCCTTTAAAAAGGCAAGGAAGGGCAAAAAAATATTTTAAGTCAAGTGATAGCGATTGCTGTATGAGTCGTACGATTTTTGAATCAAGCACGGGCAACGCCGGGCCATGCTGCTAGTATATATATATATATATATATATATATATATATATATATATATATATATATATATATATGAATAAAAAAAACAAGAAGAAAAAAAAATCGTTCTCTGAGGGACATTATCAAGGACGAAACGGATCGGCTAAAAATTGTTTTCCATAATTTTTTCTTTCTATTCATTTTTCTGGAAATTTTATAGATACATTCTATCTTCAAAATTAAATATATATATATATATATATATATATATATATTAATATGTGTGTGTTAATTGTGTGTGTGTTTGCGTAAAATAATTTTGCGTTCAGGTAATACAATTTAACGTATGGAAAATAAAACAATGATCAGGCAGTCAATCAGGTGTATATACAGCAGCTGACGGTTAAGTTGTCACCACCAACTATAAAGCCTTATTTTTTTTAAAATCAAGCATTTTTGTCCTGATTAAAGATAAAACAAACTAATCCGTCAATTGTTAGTCAGAGGACAAATGTGACTGTCAGTTTGGACTGACACTTATATACATATCAATTGAGGCTGGCTGACACATTCAGACGAGAAACAGTCAGATGTTTGCTTTTACATTATATTAGCAAAAAAAAACAAAGCTGTCTTGTATATGCGACATGGTTTTCGTGTTGTTAAGAGCCAGTCTTAAGTGATTCAATTAGGCTAAATGGAAGAATAAATAATCGTTTTTTGTAGCTGCTTTTTAGACAATACCTTTTATTTTGATTAGATTTTATACTGTGGTGTAGAAAGACTAACCTTCTCTACACCTATTTTTGAAAAATGGAATTGTACATACGCTATGAGTAGAACGTATCATCATGGAACAGAGACAAAAAGTGGGTCGGAAAGGTTTAAAACTTTAGAAAATATACATCCATCCATTATTATTTACTTTTTTTTTCGTGTTTTTCACATGAAACATGACCCAGCGCACATATTAGTACTTCGCATGTCCATACCACGAAGTCGTTCAGACTGGCCACAGATTCTCGATTGAATTTAAATCAGGAGAATTTCCGGGCCAATCTGTAGTAATTTGATTTGCTCACTGGTAAGGCTTACCAGTGTGTTTGTGCAGTGTTACAATTTTCGTGAGCTTCCTTGGAGTAACATCCATCGCAGACAATAGCCGTAGGACAACTAATCGACAGTCGAGACAATAGTGTCTAGGCGTGATAAAAATCTGATGCAATCACAGGTGAGGCAATATTTTTGAAGGACAAACAAATTCAATCATATACCTCGAAAATAGATTCATATTACTGGACACCAATACAAATGACCTAATCTGAGGTAAAAATAGAAATTGATTAGACCCTGTCACTACAGTGGGTCGAAAATTGACCGAATGGTGAAAGAAAAGAAACTAAAGCGTTAGTTTTAATTAATTTGCACAAGAATTTATAATGGAACCAAGTAGTTAAATAAATAGGATTATTATCATTATATATTTTTAAATTAGTTTTTAGAATTTTATATATGGGAAAACGATATATATATATATATATATATATATATATATATATATATATATATATATATATATATATATATATATAAAATTATCATTGATTAACTGATTGATTCTTTTTCTTTTGTTTGCAGGTTATTTAAAGCGAGAAAGGATTTTTAGATTGTAAGAATTTCCTAGGGTGAGGAGATAATAATATTTAAATGGTACAAGTTTTACTAATTGGCCCGTAGTTTTGGAGGGGAGATGAGGTGGACTCATGTCTTTGCTAAGGATTTTTGCACGTAAGTGAATATACCAAACCCAACAGGAATTGTAACTTGGCTCTCTGAGTCATTATCCATTATACCACACGTACATCAAAAGTTACAGCACCTGGTGCAACTAATGGTCAAACAACCCAGGCAGTGATTTATATTAAACTTCGATGATCTTATGTGTTGAAAAGAAAAAAAAGTGCTATATTTTTATATACCAGGAGCAATTCTAGGCAAACCTATGAAAAAGTGCACAAGAAATTATTCGTTTGGTCCGTTAGGACTTCATTGGACTGAATTGATGTTTACATAGATATGATTTACAAAATGTCCAAAAAAGAAGGGCTACTTTTTTTTCTTTTCTTTCTTTCTTCTTTTGTTTTAATCTCTAATCTATCTCTCTCTTTAAATCTATTTTATATATCTATAAAATTTAGTCTTTTCATTATCTATCTATTATCTATCTATCTATCTATCTATCTATCTATCTATCTATCTTCTCCTTTCTGTATCTATCTATATACCTATGTTTTTCCATATCTATCTATCTATCTATCTATCTATCTATCTATCTATCTATCTATCTGTCTGTCTCAGTCTGTTCATTATCTATCTATCTATCTATCTATCTATATCTATCTATCTATCTATCTATCTTTCATCTTTTATGTATCTTCTATATATAAATGTTTATCCATATCTAAAAAAATCTATCTATCTATCTATCTATCTATCTATCTATCTATCTATCTATCTATCTATGTTTTTTCATATCTATCTTATCCTTTCTGTATCTATGTATATATATCTATATTTTTCCAAATCCATCTATCTATATATCTATCTATTTCAACCTCAAATATTTCTTCGTTCCCAGAAAGCACACAATAATGAATTTTTAATGATCTCACCTCAAACAAGGCGATAAAGCCACTACAGTGCATAGGTTACTGAGTATGAAAAGAATATGAGAAAAAGAAAAACATTATTAAAGAGAGGGAACAATAAAAAATTAGGAATTAAAAACAAAAAAACAAACAGAATATAACGATTGACGCTGTATTTAAATTTTTGAAGGTTAAGGTTGACTGTGAAACATCGAACCGGAAGTTAAAACTCAGCCCCAATCAGTGGTCACGTCTATGCAACGACGAAACTTCGAAGTATGCAGGAGGTAGGTGAAAAAAAACCCAAATATTTTCATATTAATTCTCTCTCTTCCTCCATCTCCTTCTCTATCTCTCTTTCTCTCTCTCTCTATATATATATATATATATATATATATATGGCTATGATAAAAAAATATACATATAGACACACATACTTGCACATACATATATATTACTTTCACAGGTGTTATGTAAACAGTGTTCAATGTTATAAAACAGCGCTATTAAGTATATACAGTGTCACCCGGATATAAGAGAGTTGTCGGGACCGGAGAAGAAGTCTCTTATATCCGGGTTTCTCTTATATCCGGGTTTGGTCTATTTTGTTTAGGTAAGTATGGGAACTAATTTGGAACAAGAGAAAATCTCTCTTATATCCGGGTTTCTCTTATATAATATTTACACTTGTATTAGTGAATATACATAATATCCTACGTCATACTAACTCCTCCTCGTCCTGTCAACGTTGGATATTCTTTATATCAAAAATATATATATATATATATATATATATATATATATATATATATATATATATATATATATATATATATATATAGGTTCTAATACTAATGAAAGAATTACAACGTTCGTAACATTTTATTTCAAATAATAGAGTAGAGAAATATTATTTATTTTAGGATACTGCATCGAAAACATACAAAATTCCATACAAAAGATTAATATATATATATATATATATATATATATATATATATATATATATTAGAGAGAGAGAGAGAGAGATAGATAAATATAGATGGATTCATATTCATCTATATCACGTTCATTATTCATAAAATATCTATCTATATATTATCTATCTATCTATCTATCTATATATCTATCTATATAAAAATATCTATAATCTAATTATCAATCTATCTATCATCTATCTCATCGTGTTTTTTTCTATCTATCATACTTTCTCTATCTATCTATCTATCTATCTATCTATCTATCTATCTATCTGTTTGTCCATATCTATCTATCAATCTATCCACCTATCTGATCGTGTTCTATCTATCTATCTATCTATCTATCTATCTATCTATCTATCTATCTATCTATCTATCTATTTGTTTGTTCATATCTATCTATCAATCCATCCATCTACCTATCTCATCGTGTTCTTTTTATCTATCTATCTATCTATCTATCTATCTATCTATCTATCTATCTATCTATCATCCTTTCTGTATCTATCTATGTATCTATCTATCTATCTATATCTATCTATCTATCTATCTATCTACCTGTTTGTTTGTTCATATCTATCTATCAATCCATCCATCTACCTATCTATATATCGTGTAATTTTTATCTATCTATCTATCTATCTATCTATCTATCTATCTATCTATCTATCTATCCTTTCTCTATCTATCTATCTATCTATCTATCTATCTATCTATCTATCTATCTATCTATCTATCTATCTGTTTGTTTGTTCATATCTATCTATCAATCCATCCATCTACCTATCTCATCGTGTTCTTTTTATCTATCTATCTATCTATCTATCTATCTATCTATCTATCTATCTATTTGTTTGTTCATATCTATCTATCAATCCATTCATCTACCTATCTATGAACCGTGTTCTTTCTATCTATCTATCTATCTATCTATCTATCTATCTATCTATCTATCTATCTATCTATATTTTTTTTCCTCTATCTATCTATTTATTCATCTATCTATCTATCTATCTATCTATCTATCTGTTTGTTTGTTCATATATATCTATCAATCCATCCATCTACCTATCTCATCGTGTTCTTTTTATCTATCTATCTATCTATCTATCTATCTATCTATCTATCTATCTATCTATCTATCTATCCTTTCTGTATTTATCTATATATCCTTTTTCCATATATCTATCTATCTATCTATCTATCTATCTATCTATCTATCTCATATATATATATATATATATATATATATATATATATATATATATATATATAACAAGATATTCATATCTATCTATATTTTTATGCGCATAATCCCACATGTAGTTGTCTAGTACGCCAATCAATTCTCAATTCCTCTTCTCATTCCCCCCCCCCATCCAAACCTGACGACAAAGGCCCTGTTTGAGAAGTAACCCAATCCATATAACCGAACATACTCATCAAATGTTGGCAGACGGAAGGTCATTTTATGATTTACGCAAACACAAATCGACATTTGTTTTCATAAGTCGAAATATTACATCCTGCAAAAGGAGCGGCTTTCATTTCTCGGTGAACAGAACATTTGCATCTATTCATTTACACCTGCTCGCTTAAAAAATAAAAAAAGAAGAAAAAAAATGCCGTGGCTTATCAGATAAACACGTCCTTTTTCGCGTTTCTCCATTAAACGCAGTCATTCGAATGTTATCAATGAATAGGAATCCGGAATTTATCCATATATGCTTCCGCCAAAAGAAGTATTTTAACGTATCCTGAATACATCATAAAAATTCAGGAAGTAGATTTAGTAAATGCCAAATACCTTAAATACCTCGGTGTATAGCTCAGTTCTAAGAAATTTAGCAAAAGAGATAAAGAAAGAGAGAGAAGGTTGCGTTTCTGGGTACTTTCTCTTAATACCTCAAGATGCAGCAAACCCAGAAAAATAACCTCAAATCTCAACTCATGTTCTTAAATAGCCTCCCCAGATTGAAACTTTCTTATGGCTGTCATCAGAAACACTTAAACGAAAATTCTAAACTCTATTGTAATGATTTGAATTTCGTAGCTAATAAAATATTAATTAATATTTCACTATAATGAATATAGAGTTTGATCCTCACTCGGCGCCCCTTACTTTCGGCCTTGTGCCACATCTAAGCGATCCTTCGAAAATCATTGGGTACCTCTGCGTGGTGTAATGGTGAGCAAGCTTGTCTTGCTAGGTCGTTTATGATTGAGTAGTGAGTTCAATTCTCACTGGGTTCCCCATACTTTCGGCCTTGTGCCACACCTAATCAACGTTTAAATAATCATTTTGGGCATTTGGGCGTAATGGTTAACAAGCTTGTCTCGCTAGATCATTTACGACTGTGTAGTAAGTTCGATCCTCACTGGGTCCTTATTACTTTCGGTCTTGTGCCACATCTAAACGCTTAAAAATCATTTGGGAACATCGACGTGGTGTAATGGTTAGCGAGCTCGTCTCTATAGGACCATTTCAACGGTGTAGTGAGATCGATCCTCACTGGGTGTCCTATATTTTTGGCCTTGTGCGATATCTAAGCAACGCTTAAATAATCCTATGTGCATTTGGTGTAATGGTTAACAAGCCTGTCTCACTAGAACCTTTTACGACTGTGTAGTGAGTTCGATCTTCATTGGGTTCTCATTACTTTCAGCCTTGTGCCACACCTAAACAACGCTTAAAAATTATATGGGAACCTCGATGTGCTGTAATAGTTAGCAAGCTTGTGTCGCTAGAACCATTACAACTGAGTGCACCATATTTCTGGCCTTGTGCCACATCTAACCTGCGCTTAAATAATCATTTGGGCATTTGGGTGTAATGGTTAACAAGCTTGTTTCTTCACGGGGGCCTCACTACTTTCGCCCTTGTACTACATCTAAACAACTCTTAAAAAAATCAGTTGGGAACGTCGACGTGGTTTAATGGCTAGCAAGCTTCTCTCGCTAGAACTAATTACAACGGTGTCGTAAGATCGATCCTCACTGGGTGCCGCATACTTTTGCCCTTGTGCCACATTTAAGCTAATGCTCAGGAAATTACTATAATGGATTCAGTTGAAATACCTCTGTATATTCTGTGAGTCTACAGGTCGGCCTTTTTATCTCCATAGTGCATTAATTAACGATAAAATCCAATTTTTTAGGACGTCTTTCTGATTCTAAACTTCCTAAATAAAATCGAGAAACTTGTTATTAAATTCTGGTAAAATTTAAGCTATTTTCAAAACTTCCGCCACAATATGTAAATTTAGATTCTAGTTCATTACAGAATTCTATCTATATTACTGAGATGAGGTATTAGGTACATTATTTACATTATTCGGATATTGTCCTCACCTTTGTATCATATTTAATACAACGTTTTTAAATCGTCGTATCCCCTTCTTCTAATGCAGACAATATCTTTTTTGTCGAAACTGAACCCTTTTAAATTTCGCTGATAGTAAAACTAGTTCCTTTATACCATGTCTAATAATGTCAGTTATCTTTTTGTTAATTCTCATCTCAAGTTCTTTGTTTTGCCTTAACTGGGTATTGAATCACACATTTTGGGTCCTGTCACTGGATCTAACTAACGTCTTTATCCACTGTACCATTGTAAAAAGATTTAAATGAGGAGAGTATAATTGGGTTCAATACATGGTTAGGGCTGTGGAGAATTTAGAGAGGTAAATTAACAGGAGATAACTGATAAATGACATCCATTAAACACGATACGTGGAACTAGAACAGTCTAACCCCAGTAAAATAAAAATAAAGGGTTCAGTTCGAATTCCAACTTCCTGAAGAAGGCCGGAAATTAATGAACGAAACGTTGTAATAAATATGGCGACAAAGATGAGGACAATAGTCCGAATAATATAAATAATGTACAGAATTTAATCTTAACCTTTCATTCTTAAAGGTTTAAATGCTATTTCTATGCTTTTTTAGTGGTTCATGTGAACGGAAGCAAGCTATTTTGTTGTCTGGTGTTGTCAGTTCAGTTACAAGTAATCCGTTATCAGAT